ATTAAAATAGCCCAATTGCTTTTACAATAAATAAACATTGAATGTGTTTAATTGAATAGTAAAGGGGTTTAACGTTAGTGGCAGGTTGTGTGTGAGAGAGAATAAATAAGACAGCCCAATATTTAAAAAAATTGTTATTCTTTTCCCCCGCATATTTAGCATATTTCGCAACTTTCCGCATATTTCCTAACTTCCCGCAATTTCACCGCATAAAATCACATAAAACCCCGCATGTTTAATCGCATAATCAAGGATTTTAGCCCGCATTAATCACGGAATTTAGCCCGCATAATCAAGGTTACAGAATCGCATAATCAAGGATTTTAGCCCGCATAATCAAGGAATTTAGCCCGCATAATTAAGGATTTTTGCCCGCGTTTTTCTGGAGGGTCTACATGATGTGGCTTTGTTACATGTGTCAAGTGCAAGGACGGATTTAGGTATGAAAGCTTTTATGTGCGCAGCTCCTCCTGCTTGGAAAAAAAGATTTGAAAGTGAGCAAATTGGTTCCACTGCCTGTTTTTAAAGCTTGGATAGGTGCAATGATACTTGATAATGTTGGTACTTGTCAATGTCTCTAGGTATGTAAATGTAGCCCTGTAAATACGATGTCCTTTTGTGTTAGCTGTTGTTTTATGTTCATGTTGTACCCTACTTGCTGCCATGTTGGACAGGTCTCCCTTGAAAAAGAGATTGATGATCTCAATGGGACCACCTGGTTAAATAAAGGTTTGAATGAATAGAGCGATATGTTTTCCATCAATTTTAAGTTTCAAGAAGTTTCCATTAAACAACATGGGCAGGTTGGCCAGTGATGGTCTCGATTCAGCGTTACATACAGACGTTTTAGTGAGTTATGGTGCTGATGTGGTCCTGGATCACGTTGCAGTTTCCCTGTGCTGTATGACCTCAGCTGTTCCCAGGATGCCGTGCTGCTTTTTCCATTGGCTGCAGAAACTTCCTATTCAGGCTTCAGAAGTGAAAAAGTGTTCACAAAAATGCTTAATGGAAAAAAAAATTTTTTCATTTCTTTGTGTGGGGATTTGCGAACACGTGTAAGTCTAGATACTCTTTTATGTGTTTATTTGTACACAGAGTAGGAGGGCATGTTTACTTAATACAAGGTACTGTATGAGGTCAGCTTTTTATTTGTGCAATTGTATCATTATTACATTCTGGTAAAATCTCTTGAACTTGCTTATGTGTCCTATTCAGCTTAGTTTGTCATACTACTAAGTTCTGACAGAATCTGTGGGAAATTATTGTGGTAGGGTTATGTGCTAATGTATTTTTAAAATATCTCTCATTAATGTTATTATTGTCACTCACTCGACTCAGCAGGTGCAGTTTTTATTATAGTTTTACTGTATCAAACGCATGTTGGAGTATTGTTGTAGAGATGTCAGCTGTTTATCCGGCAAAACTTCACCACCCACAAGGGACAACATGAGCAGGTGGTTGCCATGGTGATAGTGCGCTGTGTTTATCTGTTGCCGTGCGAGAGACGAGGGTGTTGTGTGTTGGGGGGGGAGAAGGCCAGCCCAAAATAAACGCATACAGAGTGGGTCGCAGAGGACACGCCCTACACGGCTCCAGATAAGGACGCAACGTCCATTTAATGATAGGATCATATG